TCCATCGCAATATGTGTCTCTTCGAACCATAAAATCTATTCCTCTAGCATTTTTGAGTATCGTTAATGATAACGAAGATATTGCTTTGTGAATCACCCTGTACAGACAATAAAACTAAAACTTTCTGAATATCAAATTATAATCCAATATATGAGATCTTATTTTTATTAGAATGGTTTAAGAAAACAACGTAGAATAATTTCAATCGTAAAAGGATGAATTTGATTTACAAAGAGTTGAATTTCATTTGTCACAAGACAAATTTGATTTGAGGAAGATAAACTTCATTCGCAATAGGAGAATATAATTCACAAAAGGATGAATTTGAGATGCGAAATCTGTGTACATTCCTTAAACCTGTACAAAGAATTCTTTGTGAATCGCTTCATTTTCGTTTTTATCGTAGGATAACCTCAATTTTTTAAAACAAATTTTATTCAATGGCGTTGACTGAGAAAGTATTAATTATTATTTTTATACAAGTTAATATGTTTCTCTTTTGGCGATGTCATTGCTAAAAGAATGGTTTGGAAACTTTATTCTGAAGAGATGAATTTCAAAGATAAATTCCGTGGAGGGTCATTTGTTCTCGTCAATGATGAAATGCGCTTTCGCGCACTACTGCAAGATTGATCCTTTCCGGGTCGTATCATTCTGTGTAGAAAATTTGAGAGAAGTAATAGAACCTTCAGTTGGCATTTTGCGAGATTTGAAATGAAATGCTTCTTTGAATCTAACAATGAGAAACGACCTTCTTGAAAATCTTGATTATACAAAAATAAATTAATTCATTATACAAAACCATCAATTAACAAACTTACACAGAGCATACAGTAACACCTTCGAAAACAATGAACGATTGATTGGAAAAATAAAGTTCAAAATGAGCCAAAGCTTAGTGTTGTACGATTTATCAATGTCCAAATAATTCCGAGAGATACTGTACATTTACCTTGTTCGATGTCGGAAATACAAACTTCTGAATACGATGTTTTAATTAACAAGGTTCAAAAATGAATTAATAAACCGAAGCAGCGGTAAAAATATGCAGATTAATTAAAACAATGCAGCGGCATTCAAAACAATCGTGTAAGCAAGAAATATCAGTAAATCAATAATGTACTAAATATTAGAATTATGGAAATATTATTTTCTATTTCATAAGTAGTAATTTTAATAGATTTTTAATAAACGTATGACAAAATGAAATATTAACATTAGAACTACTGAGCCCCGAATGCGACTAATGGTATATTATTTTATAACAATAGCAAGATTAGATTTATTTAAACTTCGAACGATTTCTATCATTGTTTACGCCTGAATAAATAAGTTTATCTCTAGATGTCTCATAAAATATTTTTATAATATCTGGAATTGTAAAAGAAAAACCAGAAACCAGTCACATTGACTGATTCGATATAATTCTAATGTTAATTTAGTAACCAATTAAAATAATAAAATATATTAATTGAGTGATCTTGTCATTTGTGATTTGAAATCGTCAAACCACCCACGTTAATTTCATGACGGGTATCCACAGTGTTTGGATCTTAGCACTGCTACTTGCACATCCAACAAGATCAGTACGTTTGCTTCCGGATGGTTTTATGATCCTGCAATTGGTGAAATGGCCGAGCCACTTCAGACGCAGACCTCAGCGATCGTAAACTATTTCGATAAAATCTAACCACCTTCGTACATCCCCCGTTTGAAAGTAGTGGTTTCGCAGGTGTATGTGTTATAAAATTTACTGAAGAGGTTCTGGCTTCTTGGGTTATAATATCGTGTCAGAGTCATGATCAAGATTTCAATCAAATTTGAACGAATGAAAGCACCACTTTATTCTTTCGAAACGAAATATTAATTTTCTGTTATTAACCTACAGAATCCTGATAACACTAATTTTCACATATCTTCAATAATTATTTATAAAATCTCATCCAGACATTACAAATAATTAATCTTGACAAATCATCAATAATTGTTTATAAAATATCATTCAATATCTACATTTAATATGAATTTATTTACTTATTTGTAAAATAATACAAAATTAATTATAAATAATTAATTTTCACGAATTTCCAATAATCGTTTATAAAATTTTATTCAATATCTATTTATATGCTTACTTGCAAAATGATACAAATATTACAAATAATTCATCTTTATAAATCTTCAACAACTATTTATAAAATGTCATTCAATGTTTAAATTTAACATGAAATTTATTCCAAATAATTACGATTATCCCGTGAATACTTATCTTCATGGAAACGCGTCCGCTTTTGGTTTTCGCAGGTTCGGTGACAGGTATACCTGGCGTTCCCGAGAATATAACTGTGATGTTCCTGAATCCGACGTCAGTCCGCGTCTCCTGGAGCACAAGTCAAGTCGAACAAGTGGAGAAGTACGATGTCACATACAAGCCAACGGACGCCAGGTGCGTTGCTCTGATTTCAAAAATTCCTATCGCATTCTCTCTCTTTTACTTCCTCTTTCTCTCTTTCTCTCTATATGTGACGAATCTGTTGAAAATCACGTGCATATTCATTGCCTAGATCAATATATCAGGGTACCAGAAGTAAAAATCGAATGCATCAAATTTCTTTCTCTCTCACTTTTCAGAAATTGGGATTCAAGAAATATATACATGTATGACAATATTTTGTAGAAATTCATTTTGCGATTTGGGAAATATTTCGTAACGGCAATCATGGAAATAATGATAATAATTGATAATATATAACTGCAGATACGCATACGGATATTAAGCACCGTATTGTGTAACGAATTTCACAGTAACTTCCAAAATTTTCCCAAATCTTAGAAAGCCAAGTACCAAACCTTAACATTTATACTAAACTACGACATTTTTTAATTTATTATACAATTCTTACCATTTCCTCACATAAAGAAACATGTTAAGATCCGAATAACCGAACCGTAAAGACAAAAAACACAATCCTAATTGTCCCTAGCGTAATTTCGTTAGCGAACGATAGATTCTGGCATTGTTTGTAACGTTCAGTTCGAAGAATGTGTGATTCTCTGTATACACTAATATACTGATCTTATGAGACACTGCTTTCAAAAAATATTCGTTGCAGATGTTTCACCACAAATCTACATGTTTCATCACAAAATAACAATAGGTGAGTAATTTAACGTGGCTCCGTCTTTTTTTTTTTTACTTAAAACACAGAGTGCAAGTGTAAATTTAAAGTTGATTATCGGATCTGTTACTTTGATACTGTAATGATGAATATAGTTTAACGTTATGAAACGTTGGTAATGACCTCCATCGTCGAGTAATCATAGTTGAATGCACGATTTTGAATGCAACGGAAGAACGAAAATATACGTATTTCGATGAACATTGTAGATGTGTTCCCGGACGCGACGCAAGTAATTAGAGAAAGACACATTGCTATTGGCGTTAAAGAAGAGTAGACGAACCACTCCGAATTTTATGCAACTTACATTTAACAACGTTATTCTTCAGAAAATACTAACGTTCAAATCATAAAATATATGTTTACAGGTTGGGCCATGATTTGTGTCACAATTTTAGAGTAATATTTCTTTTAGGTAAAAGATGGTAAAAAAATGGAATTTGAAATTTCGTCGAATAGCCTCTGATTACAATTGATATTATATTATTTTTGGTGTACCAAAATGACGTTTATTATTTTTTACAATAATTTACTGTAAGTATATACGTAAGAAATATTAATCTAATATTTCTAATCTATCATGTTAGTCATATTTTTACAGGCAACTCAGTTGTTTGTCCACTCACCACCGAAATTAATTTTAATTGATCAATTAAATTTTACTAAAACATTTAAGACACAAGAAAATGAAATTGACAATGATTTTAATTATTCGAGCAATCTTTTCAGTACTTGTTTACTTTGGAGGACACCTTATGTAATTTAAATATATGTTTGTTTGACAGTGAACGTGTAACTTTATGAAGTTTTCATCGACTTTCAATACGTCTTATCATGTGTCACTTGTCAAATCGCTCACTGTCTCTCTTTCTTTCTCTTTTGCAAACTTCGACCATCAATTGTACCAATTATACCACAGTTTCTTAACCATTTTTGCAATTGAAAAAGTTAAATTGAATATAAGGAAAATAAATAAACCGAAAACTCAATTATGATCGAACCATTTTGAAGTAACAATAAGTATCGCAGTGTAATTAGCAAATTGGTTGTAAAGAGATCGAAGAACATTATGACGAGAGATTATAAAATGTCAATACAGTACTTTTCTTTTACAAGTATAGTCAATTATAAATAATACAAACAATCTTTATCTAGACATATACAGAGACACGTGCATTCGATGAATTTTCATATTCGATTTCTTCAAAGTGACATTTATTTTTAACTTGTTTTCTTTCCAATTTGTATACAGTTCTTGAAAGTTACATTCTCAATTTATTTTCATTCTCATTTGAATATATTTCTCTTTCGGTTGTACTATTAGTTACGGTCCACCCTGTAATACACTTTTCAGACAATAAAGTAACCATTTAAAATATACTTAACCTTCCAAAATATTACAAATATTTTTATTAAATTGCTTATTATAACCAGTTCTTTTTTGTTACGTTTTACGTAAATTTGCTCGTATTATACAATAGTTTTATAGTTTATTTTGTTTTCTTATTCGAATTTTGCCTGCTAAAGTATGTTGCAAACATAGATCAATCTACATTTCTCATTATTTTGGAAACGAAAGTGGAAACGTGTACGTGGAGTCTCATTTATAATGAACGCCTAAATTATTTCTGTTTCCATGGAAAGCAAGAAGAAATGATAAAGAAGAGTTAGGTATAAATGAAACGACTTGTACATACTTACGACGAAATAAATCATTAAATTTTGCAATGAATCTTTTTCTCGTGCACACCAACAATTGGTGTAGAAAAGTTAATATTCATATACTTATTAATATACTTTTGGNTTGGGCTAGAAAAGATAATATTCTTGGTGTAGAACAATTAATATTCCTGATGTAGAAACATTAATATTTTTGATTTCACGTAAATAATTCCAATACTCTACTCGGATCTGTTACAAA